TTTTTTACTTATTTTCATATTACGTCACTTATATGGTTCAAATATACTCGATTAGACATTCGAAATATATATGTTAAATATTTTATTTAAATTTCTAGGATATATTAAAATAATAAGAAATAAATATAAAAATAGTTTTTTAAAATATAAGTAAGTAACTTTTTCAATATTAATAATTGTTTTTTATAAATTATATCTATAGTATTAAAATATTTTAGGTAAATTACTAAACAATAAGTAATTATTATTATTTCATCTATCTTTTTAATATCTAACATTTCATAATTTATATTTTATATGTCCAATTATACCTATATATATACATATATATTCATCTGATACTTACAAACACACTTCAAATAAGTCTTTTTTTATTTATCAGCTAGTAAAATTCTTTCTTTTGATTGATCAAACACTTTGAAGCATTTACAGCATCAAATTTGGATCTATGTAGTAGACGATATCTATGTAGCTACGATAAGTTTACTTAGTAAATTTATCAATAAACTTTACTCACATCAGTAAACTTTACTCAGTGCTTAAGGAATTTATAATAGGATATATCATTATTTCGTCCTCGTTGTGTTTATCGAATGTTAAACTAAGATAAAATATGTTGCAAATATATATATGGTGTAATACAAAACTTGGAAGAAATTGCAATTGGAATCCCAATCAGTAGATAATGTTTTTTAAACATTTATTTGTCATTAATTTTACATTTTTTACAATTCATTAATTTAATGTTTAAATATAACGTTTATTATATGTTTATTTTTAACAATTAACATTTCATTTAAAACAAATATTTGAAAAAACATTAAGTGTTAATTTCGTAAAATGAGTTTCTTTTACTTAAAAAATTATAATTTTTAAAATTTATAATATTTTTAAACTTTTGTGTTAGCTTAATTAATATTCTTTAGATGTTTCATATTATGCTTGGGTTACTTTGACCATCGGTGACCATGAAGAGATAATATTTGTACGATGTCCCAATTGTGTTAATTCCTTTGACATAATTGCTATAGCTTCAGAAGAAATAGGTTTAACTGGTGCACGAGGTAAACCTGTATTAAAGTCAGTAAGAAGAGCCATTGCTACTTTCATAGACTGCACCCAATTACCTACAAATAATTGATTTTTTTCAATCGATCTGTGTTTTATTAGATGAAAAAATACACTTTACCATGTTTCATTATAGCAACCACAGCGCTTGTGAGCTTCTCTTGCATATCTTTAGCTTTTAATATATCTCCATTCTTGCAAACAGCAAGAAGTTGTTGTATATGTTCCGGAAATATATTAATGGTGGTTACTATGAAAGAATCAAATCCCAATGCACACGCCGCGTTCATTAACTACAATAAATTCAGAACAAATTAAATATATTTTTATTATACTGGCGAACGTAAATTGGATAGAAAACAATACAAGTAGTTGCATGACATCGGGTTTAGCATTTATAGTGAGTGTAAAATATATTCGTACATACAGAAAAAATTAAAAGAAAATTTTGTTTTTAAAAAGTAAACATTATTCAGTAAGAAATACGTAAATTGATGTCGAATAGACATCAATCGAATGCAATGATTTTGACATTAATTCAACGTCGATTTTTAATCTAATATTGATGATCATTTCATACTAAAAGTAATTAACAATTTATTTATAAAAAATAAACTAAACTGCATATTTTTTAAAATTACTGTACCAGAAAGATGTGTAAGATAAATAAAATATATTATCTTGAAAATAAGTGAAAAATAGTAAATATTATTTAGACAAAAAGTATTTGTACGTACAATCAATTTAGTTTCTAAAATCAGGAACATATGCGAAGCTCGTTCGTTTATATTAAAACAAAACATATTTATTGTATAAAATTGCTAATTATAAATTCTTATTATTTTCTACAAATGAACCTTTTCTTATAAAAATTTTCTTTACACGAATACTTTTTGCACTCCCTGTGGTTTATACTGGTTAGTTACTATTTACAAGTTATTTTTGACTTATTTTCTGTTCAAGAAGCGCTAGTTTATACGTTTATCTTATGAGCTAATTTTTTTTATTACCTGGTCATTGCCGAGGAAAATAACAAATTTTCCATTATTGGCATGTAACGCATGTGCTCCTTCCTCTAAATCAGCGCTGGTGAATTTTATGCCCACGAATGATGGTATTTTATCACCAACAGATTCAAGGAATCGTCCCATGTGTACTACAAAATGTTAGTACATGATACTTATGATGCGATACATATATACGTGTAAGATATAACTGTACCAGTTATAGTGGAAATCAATTATTACGTGAAAATCAATTACTTTAGACAAAGTGATAAATCTTTTTAAATATTAAGCTTCTAATATATACGATTTCAAATAAATGCATTACTAAATTTTTATAAACGACAAATTTATTTGGAGTCGTTCCCTAGTGAAAAATGAAATCGACATCGAATTGATGTCGATACGACGTCGAAATCATCAATTCGATGTCGAATTGACATTGTTATTTCTCACTAAGTCGTATCATTAAAAGTTTAATATTTTAAATTTTGTACCACACTTTGTCCAACGAATTAAATCATGTGCACTAACTGTCCACTAATTGGTATATTTATCTTATATGTACAACAAAATATCAATCTTATAAATTATGTCAGTTGATTGTATCCAATTATATTGAAACGTGGAAAAACTGCTTACTGTTAACATTAGTCAATAAAGGAATATGGTAGTATAATAATGGTGTCTTTGGCGCTGCCTTGCCAACTATTTCCAAGTATTCAATCAGTTCTTTAGGGGTGGTAGGTTTGAAGTACAATTCTGGTAAGCAGAGTATAGAATCCACGCGCAGATTACTTGCGTGTTTCGCCTATAAATTATTTTTATTTTATTACTTAGTCGAAAGTGGGATGAATGTTATTTTCTGCCGTATCTGTAGTATATCAATAGTTATATATTTACAAGTTCGATAACATCGGGAAGAGGTGCGCCTCCTACTTGAATCATCAGGTGCTGTTTTGTTTCTTTCACTGCTCTTACCCAGGCTTCGGTAACAAGTTTTCTTTCGGCAATAGACATTGACATTCCTTCGCCACTTGTGCCATTAACTATTAAAAAAAAATATTATAGGAATGTAAAGAATTATTATTTCATTAATTTAGAATAATTATTATATATTACACATTCTTTTTTTGGAACGAATTTTTATACAAAATTCTTTGACAGAAATACTTAATAATACTAATAATACTGTTAAATATTATATTCGGCTGTCATGAAACACTTCTAATGAAATAACAATAAAATATTTCTAGGAAAAGTTTGTTGATTTCTAATAAAATAATTAATTGCACAAAAAGATTTTCAAAAATTTGTTTTAATGAAAATTCGAAGTCAAATTGTTTTCTTTTTAAATGAAGCCATACACTTTTCTTTCCATATTTTATAGTACATAAAAAGACAAATTCATGGATATTATGTATCATTTTAATTCGACTTCATTCTTTATTTATAGATACGTAATTAATTTAATATTGGAACCTAATAAACTTTTGTTAGACACACTTCGTTGTCAATCTGTAAGATATATCTGTAAGAAAAATCATAGCGATCGATCGCGAGATCTCGTATATTTAAATAATTATTTAAACTTATTTTAAAGATAAAACTTACCAAGTAAACCTTTAACCCCTTTCTTCGCTAAGTATTTTGCATATTGTGGTATAATATCCAAATTGAGAGATCTATTAAATGAATATTAGGCATTATATGCATTGTTTCGTTTAATATCAGGTTGTTATAAAGTTTATGGAAACACAAGTTAATTACCCATCAGTATTCAAAGGAGTAAATACGGGAACAACAAGACCTCTGTAGGTATACGATAATCGCTGCAATCATAAAATTAATTCAATATTAAAAAAAATTGTAATTTGTTTTATTCAATTTTAAATAGTGGCACGCGCACACACACGCACACACACACACACATACACACACATATATATATTGTAACTATTTATAGTCTTACATTTTAATGTATAATTCACTGATTGAATTTTTGTGACTTATACTCCGGTCTCCCCTATTGCCACGATCAAATTATTATGTTACTTTATTTTTTTATTTTAGAATACGTTTACTATTTTTATTCTTTTTAGAAATTAAATGTATAAAAAGGTCATAAAATAAACAAGAGTTTGCTAAAAAAAGGACTTAAATTGCAATAAATATTACAATATGAATTTTTGATATATTTTATTAGGAATCTTTTTACATAATTGTTTTCACATAGTGACTGGCATTTTAACGTGACGCGATTAGACAATTTCTGAAATACGGTATAGTAGCGCCTTTACTTTAACTTAAAAGTTAAAATTCGTATAACACATATATAGATATAATAGTTCTAGCAACATGATCGATATTTAAAAGTACGATATTTAAGTAATAACTTAATAATTCCAGTTGAGCCTAATTTTTAGTAGAGCCATATGTCTTCTTTATTTACTTTATGTATAGTTATACACGTCATATGTAATGATTATTACAAAACGAATATGACAATTACATTAAATGTCTATATTTGTTTGATTATTTGACTATATCCGTATGATAAATATATTTGCATAAATATCATATACTTACGGACATTGTGTTATAAACGCGACACTGACGTACGCAACTTTATGAAAACACCTATACAAAGCGAACTGAACAGCAACTATAAGAGCTGGTACTCACAATTCCTTCTTATATCG